CATTGACCCTTCACACACGGGAATGTGAGCTATGTGGAAATGCAGCTTTGAGACACCTGTTCAGACAACCAACAGTGAACAAAAGCCTCATATTTTGTGCTTTGTCTGAGCCTCTGCTTTTGACCCAACCTAGTTAAAGGTCACCACAGCAGCAGTCTACTTAGTGATTTGGCACAGTCTTTAAGCTGGATGGCCTTCCTGACACTAGCCTTGGAATTAGGAATAAGGTTGAGGTTAAGGGTTTTTTTTCCCTGATCTATAAGTCAATAACCCACCACCATATACAAAAGCGACAGCCGATATGTTGCTTGTTTCTCTTAAGCTTTACAAAGACAAGTTGAAATATTTTATATTTAAAAAAAAGACATTTTGTCGAAGTATAGCCTAAAATCATCAGATAAATTCACCACCCCTGGTATTAAGATCAGAGAAAACTGCAAATGTATCAATGAAGATTAAGAATAATTAAGTAAATACCACAACCTATCTTACTTTCCATAATGGAATTTAAGAAAATGTTAAGAATCTGTTACACAAAGGCAATATTTCTCTCCCATTCTTGTCATGACTGCAGGCTGCCGCCCTTTTAATCATAACAAAGAGATTATAAGATTTTAAATTTATAATCCAAGTCTCCCTAGAGACCCTCCCTGTCCAGCTGGAATCCATAGTAAAGGCCTCCAACCTTTTTCTGGGCATATAAAGAAGAACCTTAGGCTATTCCCACAGAGAGCAAAAGAGCTTGCCAAAAACACTGCGGACAGACCATTGAGGTTTTAGAGTTTACACAGAGAATGAATCTGGAGATTCTCCCATTGTGACATTTAAAGGCTATAAAAGAAGGACTTTCTCACAGTTTTATCAACAGTGGACATCACGTGCATTGTTTATCCAGTCAGAAGCACACATTTTCATTAAAAATTATGAACTTGAAAAACGCAACATACCTGTTTCTTGAATACAGTGTTGCCCACAAAGTCTTAAAGTTGCACCAGCAAACAAAAAAAAGAAGCTAAGACTCATTCTTCGTGCATTCAAAAAATATGCAGACTATCCTGAGAAACAAATGAGTCACAGTAAAAAGACATGGTAACATTTCCCCGTCCAGAAATTGCTACTGACATCTTTCGCCTCTTGGAATTTTGACCACATGAAGAAGAGGATGATACTGTGGCTTTTTGAAGGGATTCAGAGGCAATTTTATGTTAACGTAAACACCACCAGTGTCTGAAATTCCATATCATGTGGTAAAGTTTTCATTGGATGATAGTTGAGCAAGCATTTTGGAAAAGATTTCAGACAAAAACAGATGTTGCACTCACAAAAATACTAATTTAAAGCGTGGGATGTTTTTTGAGGCTAAGTCATCCAAAAATATACAAGCCCAGGAA